TTATGCTGACCATATCGCCGACGCAGTTCTGCATTCCGTAGCTTTCCGTATGGTACGGAAGGGGGTTGTTGCGGGATGACTAGTTGGTGGCGTGCACACAGATTGACCCATTGTTTGGCACAGATTGACCCACTGTTTGGCACGTGCTGCTCATCAGCTTGGCTCCGCTGACACGAGCATCCATGCCCGCAAAAGTACTAACGTCCACGACATCCATTCGGAGTCCATCCGTGAGCCGAGCATCCATGCCCCAACTGTAATCTTGTCAAGCCGGCGTTATCCACGCAGAGGGGGCGAGCTGCTGGAAGAAGCTTGGTCGTGTGCTGAAGCTGCCTGTGGGGCTCAGACCCCATCTGCCAAACAATGCTAAGTGATTGGTCTGCAAAAAGGGTTCGCATGGATTGTGCTGTTTTAAGGCTTATATCCCGAGGAGAGATGGACGCAACAATCTGCAGGTCTTGTTTGGAAAACGTCCAACCAACAGCCAAGGGGCCTTGAGCCGAAGAGGCCGATGCTTCACCTGGCTCGTCAGGGGAAGTCTACTCACGGAGCTGAAAGGAACAGTCGGCTACAGAGCTGCTGGAGCGCAGTCTTCACATAGGACGGGACTTTGCTGTTGTGTGATTCAGAACTTGCTACTTGTCAACAGGCACCTGTGAGCAATCAAATGGAGGCGCAACAGCTCAAAGCTTTAAGAACAGTCTTGCAACGAGTGTGAGAAGCCTTGGGTAATTGCGAACATGAGCATTTCCGGATTGCGTCTGCGCTCAATAACGAAGTTCATGTAACTGCGGTCGCCCCTTCTGGAGGCAAGTCGCTGTCTGACACGTCTGCCCAGGATGTCTTCTGAAGACGATGCGAGAACTGTCTTTTCCGCAGCACGGACTCTCAACCACAGAAGGAAGGCCTACGCCGCCGATCCGGCAGCAGACAAGAACATTTGGGGGGCGATCCTGAGGATTGATCTTCTGATTCACAAAGAACGAGGAATTCTCAGCCATTCTATTTCACGTGATCTGCAAAGGTATTTGTACGAAAACCCTTTCAAAGTATCGTCATGGTTGCGCAAAGAACTCCCGAAACAAAAATGGGAGACAGAGCTTTGTGCGAAATCGGCCGGGACACGACCGGCCTTAGCAAGGATATTGAAACCACGCCCTGGCATGATTCACGAAGCAAAGCGGGTTTTGAGCATTTCGAACAAGTCTCGCCAGCACATTGCCTTGTGCAGGAAATCTAGCCCATAGTCCATGGTTCATGAAGTTTAAAATCACAGATCTTTCGACGTTCAAGATGCTCGTGTCCACATGCACATCTGAATGCAACCTACACCGCCAGCTACTTAATGCAGGGGGCTAAGTCGTGGTGATCAGGATTTTCCACAGGGCCACTGATCAAGCAATCAAGGTCATACCAAGATTCACGCAACCGGGTTGCAACTCACGGTTGATGGATGGACCGATATGGACATGAACTCAAAAGATGGGTATTCATACACGACGTCATGCACATGTCAACCCCGTCTGCAAGAACTCTCGCGTCATATGCACCTCTGTAGCTCCGCTCCAAAGGCGCGACTACCCAACGCACTGGTTCAGTCGGTTTGAAAAAGACTAAGGCCACAACCTGGGAACCAGCAGGGACTCGTGCTGCGAGCAAGGAGTCACAAGATGGGACAATTCGAGGCATGACGTCGGAAGACCTCACGAACCCAGCAAATCCCGCCTGCTGGCGTCGCAGCGCAGCGCACAGTTGTAAAAAACTGAGAGCAAAGCCTGGCAAAAGTGCGCGGATGTCATTCCCAACAATCCCCTCAGCCTCACATTTCTGCGGTGTAGTCTTGCTGCCTGTAGGTTGACCAAGTGCTACGTAAGCATGTACTGCCCAACCCAACCTCATTTGCGATGCCGTTGCAAACATGCAGCAGCAGCAGCAGCATCAGTCATAGAAGCGGCAGATCCCATGGATTAGTCTGCTACACAACTGTCTTGTTCACGGGCGAGTTGAAGCTTCCAGCGTTTCTGACACGAGGGCTGCAAGGGCGAAGGTTGCTTATCTGCACAATATGCAGTGTGTCATTGCTGCTGACGGGTCTTGTAAGAACACAGCTTAAATCTAACATTGTCCATGCCCCCACGCCTGGCCTCCAGATCTTGTTTGGGTGCAGGGCCCAGCTTAAGCACCGGATTCTTTGCAACACCTGCCTGCGGACGCAAAGGAGACTGTGCGGCGCCAGCATTATATATAAAATAGAGAGACATAGAAATTAGATGCGTGCAACATACACCGAGACTGATCGAGATAAGCTCTGTGCGAGCTTCACTGCCGGACAGACTCCACGAATGTGACACCATGCGTGATACCCGGGGCCCATGATGCTGCTCATCATGCTTGCCTTCTGTCGTAGCCTTTCCTCTTCCAGTCGTGTTTGGCAATGATCATGACATTTTTTTCAAGGTTGCCGGAAATTATAGCGATGGAGAACTGGTGCACCGCTGCGCATGCAACTACGGAGATCGTATCTAATTGCAGCAAAAATTACTCAATCACCCGCCTCTTCTGCTTGCATTGGCTCCTGCCACTTTGCAGTGGCAAGCATCTTACGGACCATGTGGCCAGAATGCAGGGACATCCTCTAGCACTCTAGCATGACGTAGCGGTGCGCCTCTTGCGGTTGCTTCTCTTGCTCCAACCATTCCCCTTCCTGCACATTGACATTCGGTGAGTCGATGTACCACGGCTGATCACGGAAGCAACGGACCGATGAGTGTGGAAGGACAAGTCCATCTGTCGGATCAAGAGCGAACCTCAAGCTGTCCAGCCTCCTCCTCCTGCTCAGCCTTCATCCATACAGTACCCCAGGGTCGACAAAACTTGTTATGCCACTGCGCATGCAACTCAGGATATATGACAGGAACAGATCCTCATATCTGCTTGACGCAGGCAGTTCTTAACTAGGCGCCTCTTCTTCATGCAGCCCCACCGGCGCCTACAACTCTGCGACGGCAAGCATCATACCGTGCTTGTGCGCGTCATGTGCACCAAAGCACGCCCAGCCTCTGCACGTGTTTTCTCCAAAGCCACCTTCTCCTGGCACACAACAAAGCTCAGCGCGGCTAAGCAACAACATGGAACATGGGCAAGCTGGAAACTGCCGGACAGAAGACTCTTTGCGGCGTGCCCTATTGGCTTCCCTTCCCTCTTCCTCCTCGTGCCGTGCGCTTTCCTACATGCTGATCCATCTGCTTTCCTTACAACCTCTTTGAAAGTAAAAAAGCGTCTCAAACGAAACTTCTTCAAGAGTTAGTGCGAATGTTGGTTTCCGGCCGCTTGTAGTTTGGGCTTCTCGGCTGCTGCCTGTAGCTGCATCTTATCGCGCACAATGCTGCGCAGTTCAAGCATGCGCTGAGAAAACAGGGACTCGACTCCGCATGTCTAAAAGAATTACTTGCCCCTAACCCTGCCCCTCCCCCCTCCGCTTCTCCCCAGTCCTCCGTCGTCTCATCGTCGCTTCCAGGGCGGCGTTTAGGGATTGGGTTTAGGGTTTAGGGTTTAGGGTTTAGGGGTTAGGGTTTTAGGGTTTTCTTTTTTGAGCACCTTTTTCCCCCTCGCCAATCCAGCTAAGGGGAATCCACATTTGCGGAAGGTCTCTGCATGACGCCCATTTGACTCGAAGACCACCAGACCCCTGCTGTCGTCTCTGCTTCATACTCCTTTCGTGCCATGTCCTTTAGGGTTTAGGGTTTCGGGTTTAGGGTTTCGGGTTTAGGGTTCAATGTTCGTGGTAAAATGCCTACGCTGGGAGCCTCAAGACAAACAACAAGCCAAACCCCAACCACCAGCAAAAATTAAAAATTAAGTTCAAACTTGACCCAGTCTTCTTCGAACACGTCACCACTGCCACGACACGTCATCTTAATAAACAGCATCATAAGCATAATGGCATAATTCTCATCGGTGCTGATCATCAGTATTAAGTCTTCGTTTAACAATCACCAGCTCGCAGCCAGCCGCAGCTGGCAACAGAAGAAGCACCCGCGCTCGGCTTCTTTTCAGGTGGTGAGATCCCGAGTTGAGGCTGCTGGAAAAAGGTTGCTCTGACCATGCAGACAGATGTTGGCCAAGATTATACATAACGCTAACAGAGTTACACAACAAAATACTGAAATTGCAAGAACATCTAATTCTCTCCCCGTTCATGTCCGCTAAGGCCAGAGGAACTTGCAGTCCGAGCCGAAACGCTCGGCGCTACGCTTCCGACTCGTCATAGGGCAGCCGATCAGGCCCCACCCAACACAAGAGCGAGGGCTTTCCATCCACACCTCGCGCTTCACTGGCACAAGAACCCGACCTACCCGAACTTTCTGTGCCTTCAAGCTTTCAGAAAAGCATTGCCTTCAGCAGCAGCTGATGCGTAAAGTGTCTGACCTGTGGTCAAACGCCAAGGGTGCGTGCATATCGTTGAGCTCGTGTCGAAATGGCTGCCCTTAAAAAGCGAGACAGTTGCAGGAGACCTGCATGATATTCCTATGAACCCTGATTGCATGACTTCCGCAGGTGAACTACTGCGGAACGGGTTCTTTGATGACCAGGGCAAGCTCGGCAAATCAGAATTATGATCCCTTGCTGCTGCCTCTGGCAGCGATGCCGAATGAGTCTGGGGGTCGTGCGGTAGGCCGCATAGGCAGGCATGAAGTTGTCAACAAACTTCTTGACATCCTCTTTCGACATCCCGGCTCCTCGTAGTAAAGGGGGGTCGGTAAAAAAAAAACCATTGCCTCAAAGCCACGCCCAGGCCTCGGGTCTGCTTCATCTGCGTCTCGGCCTGCTGGCGCCAGGCATAGACCTGCCCAGAAAGGGCGCCCAAGGCGCCAGGGCCCAAGGCCCCCCAACACCCAGCGGCTCCGGCCTGTCGAATGTCTTCCACCGCCAGGACGCAGAAGGAGTCGACGAGGTCATCCCATGCCTCACACAACTTCCTCATAAGAGGGGGCCCCTCCAAAAATTTGGCCTCGCCTGGTAGTCCTTGAGCTTCTGGTTCACGAGCCGAAGGCCAGGGTGGATGGCAACGGCCTGGGAACCGACGATTGCCAGGGAACCGCAGTGTGGCACTGAAGACACACTATACGCTCACTACATATAAGACTTCGTGAATGTAGTATAGCGTTTTTGTAGCGAAGTACACTGAGCTTCCCATGTCGATGTTGGCCCTGTCATGAGGGCTTACAGGTCGCAAAAGCTCCGGTGCTGGCATGTGCTGGCTGCTTCGTGCTTAAACACGAAGACGAAGATGCCTCCCGTCTCATTTGTGTGGTGTCTGTTGGCAGCTGTCACGATAGAAGTCGACACCGAGGCAAGGCTGCGAGCGAAGAGGAAGTTCCAAGCATCTTTGATGTCAGCGAAGCCCCCCTTTTTGACGCTATCCGCTTCTCGTTCTTCAAGTCACTAACTGTCGCTAACTGTGCCGGGGACCCCTGAATCTTCCCGACACACCCACCGGCCCGGTGCCACAGCTGTGAGGCACCCCGTGATAAGCCGTGGGAACTTCGGACACCTGGCGAGACCTTTGAATCCGGCACTGAAGAAGCAGGAGTTCTGATATGTTCTGCCCATGCCGAAGCTCTAGAATGACGGCGGGTCTCGCAAGGGACCCCAAAAACAACAGCAAAAACAAGAACCCCACTCTGTGTCGTCTGTGAACCTGGCTCAGAAGCCAAAGATGCCACCAAAGCCCCCCCCGAAGGAGTCGTCAGAGTCCGAACCGAAATCTCGGGTGCGCAGGTGCTTGGGCCCATCAAATCGGCGGTCGATGCATCGACGCATTCGATGCTTCTTCACTGTGCAGGGGCAGGATTTCCAGTCGTTTTTCGCAGCCAGGTCTGATAAGCGCCTGCGACCCGTGAGGACTGCCTTGACCACGGACTTTCCCTGCTGTGCCAAAAGCTGGCCTTCGCTGGGATGAACCTCCTGCGGATGGATCACGCCGTTGTCGTGGGCATCCTTCAACATTTGCATCAAGATTGGGTCCAGAACTTTGGCGTCACTGGCAGCTCGAGCAAGCAGGAGCGGCCATGCGATCTGCAGCAGGTCCTCAATGCTTCTGACACTGGTATCCTCGTCCTCTGACGCCCCGTCGCCCAGCAAGTTCACCTCGACTCCATCGGCATCTGACAAGGTCTCCCGAGGGCACCCACGGAATGGGATGGCGTTGATGTTCAGCCAGGTGTCATGGACGCACTTCAAGATTTCATGCGCATTGCCGAAGCCAGCTCCGATGTCCGTTGCTGCTCTGATGGCACTCTTGACATGGACTCCACATTCTGAGAACCATTCAACGATCATCTCATCTGTCTCTTCATAGGAGTCATGCCAATCCATGTCCACCGTGTGGGCAAGGCTGGAAACGTAGTCGTTCAATGACTTCTTCACAACCTCCACGTCCAAGAGCTTGTTCTCCGTCTCTGAGAGTGTTTTTGCTCCTTGGGCCTCCTTCTTCAGGCGCTTGGCCACGTTGCCTGGCGTGTCTTTGTTGGCTTTGCGCTTCACGGGCACCACGACGTCCTTCGGCACAGGCCTGCCGCTGAACAAAGCTGCCAGCACGGGGGAGTGGCCAACTGCAAGTTCACGAGCCTGCCGGAAGTGCACCTGACTGCCACAGTGCCAGGCCAAGAGATCTTGTTCGGAGAGAGGAGGCGCTGTCACGCAACGAATGGTCTTGGCATTGCCTACCGGACTTTCAACAGTCTGCAGGCTGCCACCATTGGTTTTCATATAACAGGACAGCGCCTCCTTCAAGGTGAACACAAGCTCAACTTCGACTTCGTCGTGAAGCGCATGGCTTTCCATAGAAAGCACGTCTTCAAACTTCAACTGGAAGGAGTACAAGGGGGAGTGCAATCTGGCCAAGGACACGTTCCAGAATGTCGGCGCGAAGTCCTCCCTGTCCCCCCTTGCAATCCTCTGCTTCCTCAAGATCTTGGCCACGTTTTCAGGGGAACGATTGATCTCCAGCACCTCGAAGGCAAAGCGCTTGTTGCCAAGCATGATCTTCCCGCAGAGAAAGGTCTCGTTGCGCGGAACTTTCTGTGGCGGAGTTCCCAGGAGCGGATCCCCTGCGATCTGCACCGCCGGCCCAGAAGTCCCCGAGCGCCACTTGCGACGTCCGATCTGCAGCTCCTTCACATTGAACTGCGCCGGCGCCGGGGCATTCTCTTTTGGCCGGGGCATGGGAGAGACGTCCGACAAGGGTGCGCGTGTGGAGGACGGGGAGCTTGACTTCTGCAAGGCTTCAAAAGACGAGACATCCTATATAACTTTTAGATGCCACCACTGACCTCACGCTGAAGCCGCTAAAGAAGACCGGCTCTGGACACGCCTCGGAGTCGGACGTCGGCTTGAAACCCAGCATCCTTGGAGAAAAAAACGCTGTACAGTTCTCTTCTCGCCTCCTTTTTGAAGCCTTGTTGGAAAGGTCCTTAGCTCCGCACCAGCCCTCCAGGAGCAGCACGTCGCAAGGTGTCTTTGCAGGCTTCCACATAGCTTGCGGAACCTGCGACGTAGACTCGGCAGTGTGACTCTCTGACAGGTGGTTTTGCAAGCATGCATGAAATGGACAGGCCTCGCCATGCCGCACAAAGATCTGCCGTGATAGGCTAAACTTAGAAAATTGTAACAGTAACCTGATATAGCGCAGAGTCTCAGAGCCCTCATGAGCCAGCACTGTCCGCCTGATCGCCACGGCCAGAATTTGCCCATTTGTCATAGCGGGGCAAGGCAACCTCAAGGAGGTCAGCAAGAATTCCGCGTGCTCGTCCCGCGATGCTTGCCAGGCAGGCGTAGTTGATTCGAAGAATACAATGACTGAAACATCGTGGAGGCCTTAAACGGTGGGATCAAAGCAGGCGGATGAAGGAACCCTTATATATGAGGACTCCTATTTGGGATCACCCCCACTTGCCTTCATCCCTCTCTTGGAGCCCTTTGAACATCTCTAAATCTTTAAGCAGCACTTGGCGCCCGGGGCTTCGTCACCAGGAGCTCTGCTCTACTGAAATGTGGGATTGCCGAAATTCCGAAATTCCTCTTCGTCTGCGCGTCGTGGGGAAAGGGCCGACTGAGGGTGGCAGATGGCGAAGTGGGGCGAGCGCGGCGACCCAGAACCCTAAACCCTAAACCCAAAAACCGTTCAAGATCCGCGACCAGAAAACAGCGCGGGAAAGGGAGAAGGTCGGAGCGGAGCTCCCCACACTGAGCTCCCGCACCTCGGCATTGCGGCTCCTGAGGGCCTCGCCAAAAAAAAAGCAGGTCCGAGGTATCAGAGCATCTGCACACATACTGAGCTCCACATATATGAGGTTTCTGGTTTACGGCTTAGGGTTATGGTCGGTTATGAGGCTCCTGAAGGTTGCTGATAAATCTTGCATTGGGGCTCTTCTCAGTCTGGCCTTCAGGGTTCGGGTGCCCAGTTGCACGTCGTGCGTGCCCGCATTCCCCCGAGTCCTTGGCAAATTTTATCGGCTGAACTCCGCAAAGTTGCTCCCAAAGTAGGCCCCAAACTCTCAGTCGCTGACTGCATCAGAGGGTTCTCCGAGTGGAGCTCCGACACCGCCTGCCGGAAGCTGCGGCAGAAACGACGAAAAGCCGGGGCTTTGAACACCCGCCTCCTGCCAACTGGCAGGGAGGTAGAAGTCGTCGATCGAGAGCGACTGCGCAAGCCAGTCTTTTCGGAGGGGGGAAAAGGGCTGATGGATGTTCTTTAAGGTTCACTTCTCGACTCTCGGGTGCAGCTTCTGCACCGGCTAAGGATTGAACTGCGCTCAAGCTGAACCGTTGGAATATGGGCAGGAGTCCCACGGCCTCGCAGCTGAGGCCGTCCAAACGGAACAGCTCCTCAAACAGAGTGACCATGGTGGTCTTCCCACAGCCTTGAGGCCTCTGGTCTGCACAGCAGGAGGCTTCTCTCCGGGCTCCGATTCGCCGATGTTCCGGGGCTCCCCGCGCCGAAAGGCCAAAGCAGATCGCTTCTGCCGGCTCGCCCCTCCAGGTGCTGCCACATTACTTGGGGGCAAAGGGCGGTCTCGCCACGCAACAACAGCAGCAGCAAAATACGCTACCAGGAAGACCAGTTTCTGAGATGGACTGGCAGCGTCAATAGAGCAAAGGCTGTGAAATAACCGTAGATGTACGTCCGCACAGCTGTACCGCTACAGCAGGTTTTCGTCCCAGGCCTTACCCGACCAACCCTAGGAATGGAATGGAAACCTACTGTAGCTAGTAGCAGCAAACTAACACAGTAACTCACAGCTGTGTCTTGCAATGTTTGCGCTGTTTGACAAGCCGTGATTGCCTGCAGAGGACGTGAAACGACCTACACACAGCCTCAGCCGGCCCACCTCAGCTCTCTCGACGCTCGGATCTCGGCCATCTGGTGGCGCATCCAATAGTAGACAGGCCTCAGCTTCGCTACGAGTAGCATCTGCGACGATGTTTCGAGGGGAAGGGTGGGCATTGGGGCAGATCAGAGCGAACTGAGCCTTCAAATCTGCCAAATGGAAGCCGAAAAAAAAAACAGTGGTGTGAATCGCAAACTTGGGACAGCTCGGTGCCGGACAAATAGAAGTGGTAGATGCGGCGAGCTATCTGCAACAGCAGACGGGAGAGAGCAAGCAGTTCTGCCGGAGGTTGAAGCCTTCTCCTCCTCCGTGGATCCCGGCAGGCTAGGGCCCAGCTGCTCCTGAATGCAGTCCTCCTACGATCTCCCCTGCCAAAGGTTTCCGAGCTTGGGCTGCGACCGCCAAGACCTGCCGTCGAGAGTAAAAAAGAGGCGTAGCAACGGCAGGATCCGTGAGTAGTACCGGCCTCACCATGCCTCAGCCACTCAGAGCTGTGAGGTGGAGCACAGCAAAGCAGCAGCTTCCGGTAGAGGGGTCCTCCAGAAGGATAGAAAATCCGAAGGACTAAAAGTCCAGAAGAAATTCATTTTGCTATGCTCCGCTGGCCCGGATCCACAGCAAAAAAATCCGCAAAAAGGGGCGGGGGGCCCTAATCATCCCTTCCCCGGCCTTCACGAACGAAGTCTTCGACCTGGGCACCGCTCGCCGGCAGCCTCCGTGCCGACGGCACTGCCTGCGGACGAAGGCAAAAACAAGCCCGGGTTTGGGGGTCAAGGGTTTATAATAGGGTCTACCCATAGGCTCCTTAGTAGTTCCTTTTTGGGATTGCCTTAGAGGACTCTAAATATCAACCACAAAAAGGAACCACTTAGGAGCCTGTAGGGCCTTTAAAGGAGCACAGCTTCGACAAAGAGCTGGGTCTGCTGCAGTGGATGAGGCTGAGCTGCAGGACGTGCCATGAGGACCTGCAGTTTCGGGAGCGCAGGATGGAGCTGTTTTTTCTCTCTCCCGGACTGCTGCAACAGCGGGGTGTATAGAGGGTAACAGGGTTCAGCTCTTATGTAGCCCTGTTCTCTTGCGCTTTGGGAACAGCCGCCAACCAAAAGCATTCACCAAACGAGTCCGAGCGAAAACATGTGCTACGTTTTACGGCCCCCCTGACTTGCTGCCGAGTCTTTCTCATTCTGCAGGGGTGAAGGGAGAGGCGATCCCTTTTCTCCGCTCGTCGGCGCGAGCATGCTGGCGGCAACGTGGTTTGGGGAGAGCAATTGCTTCTGCACATGTCAAGACTCTCTCGCGCTCTCTGCTTAACGTGCGCAAGGGCGTGCTACGAGGAAGAGGTTGGTCGATCGAAGCACGCCTGCCCCAAAGGTTGGACAAAGCAACTCGGTTCTGGCATCGCACAGTCCACTACATACATCTGGACTCTCTCTGTGCAAATTCCCTGTTCCTGGGCCCCGGCGATGCCCTTCGCAAACACAGGTCTGCGGCGAGAAGCCTCGTGGGCAGAGACCTGTGGCGCAGAGCCGCAACGATGCGCAGAAAAGCCCGGGGCCCGGAGTATCTCTGATGCTTCGGCCCCGTCGAGACTGCAGGAACGTCCATGGCAGAGATGACACCTTGACAAAATGCCCGGTCGAAGCACTTGTTCGTCCGGGCTGCTCTCTCTATCTCTCTCATTGCAGGCAGGCCGCAGCCGCCAAACTCGCCAACCTTGCCAGCTTCGGCATCGGCGGCAGTTCAAAGACTCAATGCCGTAATTGTCGGGTGTTCTTCGCTGTGCGTTTTCTGCTCCAGGTACTGGCCACTTGTTCAAGTTCTGGTCTGCATCTGCGACGCTTAGACGTGGGGTGACGCTGAGAGCCGCCCAACTCCCCCGGCGTATCCTCCACAGGAGCTGCAAAAGCCGTCCCGTGCCTCTCTCAAACTGATACTCTGCTGGATGAACTTGAGTCCGCTGCAATGAGCATGGCTACATCTGATCTACATTCTATATCTGTAAAGTGTAAACTGTAAAGTTACCCCTTCGAGCTTGAAGCGGCTTCTCACGCACACGAGTTCAATCAAGTCCGAATCGCTTCGGAAGCGCGCGAGTCATGCACAGATCGTTCAAGCACGCACGACGCAAGCTGCTCACACGCAGCTGTGTCTCGGGCTTCACCGTAGAGACTCCATTTTTCGACGCCACGAGGCTCCCAGGCTGCAGCGCAGCTAAAGGCAACCGGCGAATGGCTCCGACGTACTCACTGAGAGGCAGCGCCAGGTGACCTATGGAGTCATGTTTACCACCTACACATTGCCTGCAGAGGCACAGGGTGCATCAGGGTGCATCAGGGTGCATGGGAAGATCTCTTCGCTTCACACAGAAGTCAGGTCCGCGGCCTCTGTCGAAGTCACGTCTTTGGAATACCATTCAGAAACTCTACCAAAACTCATGCTGCAACTCTGGGCTCCTCCAGTGCAAGGAACAAGCACGGCTTAGGCTTCCAGTTTGCTGTTGGGCTCTTGGGTTCCTGCAAGCGACTGACCGCTAACCGCGCCTGCTCATGCCCCTGGTCGCGACAGATCCGACCAGTATGAGCAAAGGCGAGCGGAGAGACTGAGAGAGGATCCCAGAGCATTGCTTCAGGAATCTTGCTGCTGATGGGCAGCTCAGACATCTGCTGCGCATCCAGGGTCCTGGCGGACTTCGCGGCATTTTTGAGAAGGTGACCCAAGCCCAAAACTTGCATTATGTGCCTCGGCAAACTTGGGCGCCCTCACTTGTCCCGGTTCACGTTGAAGGCCCTGCAATGCCACCGCAACTTTAAATACTTTAAGTTCTTTCGACTGCCAGCGTCACTCAAACCATGTTTGCAAGCTAGCCCGTGGCACGTGAAGGACAGGGAGACATACGGGAAGAACTCCTCATCCCCGTCTGCCTGGCATCACAACGGTCAAAGTGACATGATAATACTCAACTGCGGCTCCCGGGGAAAGCGGCGGAATCCATCCAATGCACATCCTGCCTCGGACATTGCTGTGCCCATGGCGCCGGCCTCCACAAGGTTCCGTGCAGCTTCACAAGAACTTTGGCCAGTAGAGTTTGTTGTGACTCTTATGACCTCTTGTGGCTTCACTGTTCCAGATGGTGCGGCTTAGCAGATCAGCCGTTGCTCTGGCAGCTCTGGATTCGAGGCAAGCGTGAACAAACCGGAGTCAGGAGGCTGCAGAATCTTGATGTGCGACATGCCCTCTTAACTTGTTGTTACAATATGTGATGAAGCGAGCAGCACTGACCTTTCCGTACCAAGTTCTTACAGCTGTGTGATGGGAACTTTCACAAACACAGGGCCTGCTTTCCCAGGGTCTCTGCCAGAACCTTCCGCGCGGCGGCCGCATCGCCCTGCCAGAGATGCAGCGCAGCCCCCCCCCTCCCGATGGTTCCCCCGACTCCTCGCGCTGCCCCCACCTTGGGGCTCAGGATGAAGGCAGCAAAGGAGGGTGGCCTTCAGACTCTCCCAAGCACGGCGATTCACTGTCTCTGTGTTGCTCTGCAGAATCTCTGGGTTTGGGGCATGCCGAAGCGCAGGACGCTCTCTACAAAGACCCGCATCGCCTTGATGTGCATCCACGCCTCATTGCTAGGAGCAGCGGCTAGCACGAGACTTGGAGCGGGCCATGCAAACGAAAAAAAACTGAGCAACCGCAGGTTTTGACAGAGTGCGCACACACACAGACACAGACATGCTACGAAGTGAAGAGTCTTCTTCGTCCTCCTCTCTTGTCTTCCCCTGAGGCTCGAGCAACAAAGACGTCAGACCAGGAGGCCTGGCTGTCACTCTGCTTTTGGACGATTGGGGTATTGGGGTTTTAGGGTGTTTAGGGTTTTAGGGTTTAGGAGGGCGTAAGACTCTTGATGTCTGTTGCCTGGCCTGGTACAAGCCATGGACGAGATCGCGCTGCCTTGTTGCAGAGTGGCTGGTTGCCCACACAACATTGTCGCAGTCGCGAACACTCCTGGTGCCTCTTCACCGACTCCTCGACAGACTTTCGCTGCTGCTCCAACTTGTGGTAGCCTGAATTTCGGACACAATAGCACTCAAGCCCATCACCCGGCGTGACAGATCCCTTCAGGGTCCCGGGCCATCCTTGCTGTATTCGAAATCTCGAACCTGCGCATCAAGTTCAGTCAGAAGAACACTGCGATGAGTGTGCACCGCAGGTGTCGGTTCAGGGAGTCAGCTCTCTAGGCTGTTGCGAGTCGTTCTCTCTCTGTGCACCTAAAGAACAAGCCATAAGGCCCGGGCCGTAAACCTTTTTTCTCTGCACATCTTCTTGAAGCCATCAACTGCACTACGGAACCTCGCACGAGGCATGCAAGGAGCGCACTCGTGCCGTGGCATTCAGGATTCAGCCCAACTCAGCCCGCAGCATGACGACCCGCCACAAAGTGTTGCCATCCTGCGCTCGCAACGGCACAGAGGCCACCACAGCTCCGCGCTCGCAGGACCGCGTCCTTGTCTTCGATACCTTTGAACTGTCTGGCAGACTTCGGCCTGGGTGTGGCCGAATGCGAACACCAAGTGCCAGCCAGGCTTGCTGTCCAACTGAGATCTCTGCACGACGTTTTCCTGCATCTTCTCGTAGACTTTCAAGAAGTCTTCCTACGCAACACCACGGGGAACGGTGCAGCGAACAGAAGTTATAAACGGCGGCTTCATTCAAACCGATCTCCTCGCCGCCTCGCGGCAGAATGACCGGAACGGTCGTAAGGTGCTCCGTCCTTATACTACAGCTGCAGGAACAGCTGCCAAACAAAGGCCGGAACTGCGGGCGTCGAAAGGGACGCTTGACTAGGCTGGCTGCACGATGAAATCGTCATCCGGACCGCCATCGGCCCTCACCTCTAAGGAAGAGCACTCCAAGCATCTGTTTAAAACGTGGAATAAGCTAACAGAGCAAAACGGCTCAAGCAACATCGGATGTCGAGTGAAAAGCTACAAGCACTTCGGGAACAAACAGTGGAAAGTCGGAGTACGTTTTGTGGGTTGTTAAACGATGAGGACGCTTCTGTTTTGCACTGCCTGAGCTCTGCTGGCTAGATTCGTTTCACCTTCATGTTGATCATCGTTCACTTGCTGCTCGAACCGAATCGCGAATCGAGGCGAACCGCTGAAAACCGGAACAGTGCGAACCCAACCGTTGTTGCAAAAACCGCAGCAGTACCGAAAAGAGGTGTTGCGTTCATCTGTTGGCTGTGTGTGCAATTTCCAATTACAAATCCTCACCCGATGCTCATGGCCAGTATTTTCCGCAGAAGTCCTGCTGGGCCAAATCCCCCGCTGTAGTCAATGCAAGCTTGGAGATTTGGCTACCATGATTTGAGAGATGCTGTGGTCAGAAGCTATCGCTCCGCGTTCGTCCCGTGCCAGCTGCTCCGATTGACTCGACATTGGGTCTCATTTTGTTGCCTGCCTGTTCTTCGGCAAGGGCCCTCCATCTTTTGAGTGACTTGCTAGCGAAGGCTCACCTACCACGCTATGACCCAGCACAGCAATCGTCGCCATGTTGCAAGAAGAGTGAAACGAGATTGTACGCAAGACTCGCGATTCGTTGCATTCTCATGTCTTCCTGCTCCGCCATACGAGCAACAAGTGACACCATACCTTTGGCACTGCTTTTCTGTCCCGTCCCTCGCCTTGTCGGGTGTGAGGACATCGATGAGGTCACGGCCTGGCCGAAAGCTCGCATCAGCAAGCTGCAGGGCAGCAACAAGAGCAGCGCGGATCCTGCAAGACTCGCGGCATCCTTCTTTGAAAGGCTGCCTGAATGGTCGGATGGCACAGCGCCAACGCTGGGGCTCAGTGCAGACTCGACTTGGGTCCCTGCCCATCTGAGTCTTGAAATCATTGAACTGCCCAGTCTTATTTCGGGCTTCCTCGTCGATGTGGTTTACCACCGACCTGAGCTCGGCAGCGATTTTATCGTGCGATTGCGCGAGTCGAGCACCAACACGCTCAACACGCCAGCGGACAGTCTGCAGAGTCCGAGGGCTCCCGCATAGTCCAGGTGAGGGTATCTGAGATCGATCGGCTCTTGGGAAACTTCGCTTCATCCCATGACCAGGTCCTGAAGCATCTGAAGCATCATCCGGCATGAGGCTGCAAGAAGAGAAAGTCGACCCGAGCTGGGGCAGCGTGCTGCAGATAGTCCAGGACGGGCATCTCCTGTCCGATTCCGGGTCTTTGCAGCTCCGGCCAAAGCCTTCCGCGCTTGGCAGGCGTTGGCCTTCCGCTGCGACTTCACCTTGAAGGTGGCCTTGGCATCCAGCTCCACGTACCTTAGGCAAAGAAAGGAAAGCGACACTACCCACATCTTTCGGAAAGGGGGTGCGAGCGGCTGTGCGAAGGTTCGCTTATAACCCTTAGCCCTTCCAAGGTGGGAAAACCCTGTCCCTTGAAATTTCGGGGAGTCAAAAGCCACCGAAGAGATGAAAGCCCCGACTTCGCCTTCGCCTCTGCAGCCACGGGCACTGGCGCTCCAGGCGGTGGAGGATGGAATCCACCTGACCGTCGGCCTTCGCCAGGTCGTCCTCTCTGTCTTTTTGAAGCAGAGGGGGGTTTATAGCCCCACAAAAGTGCAGGGAAGGACAAGGAGGGATCGAGACTCAACAATGGGACAGGAAACACGCAAGTACAGTTATTGGTAAGAAGGACAGCAATCCACGAGAGACAGGTCCGTGAGGCGGATCAGGTTGTCGAAGGATCCAAAGAGGAGGGATCGCTCGCCGTCTGGCACATCGAACTTCGAGGGCTCCTGTAGGGAAGCAAGAAGAAGCAAAGGGTCTCAGAAGCAGCACGAGGTGTCATCATGCCGACCTGGATGCTGGCGGGCGCCCCTCGCAGAACTGGAGACTGCTTCAACCTGGGCTGAAGCAAAGCCGTTCCCGACATCCTCCGGGGGGGCGGATTCTGGGGCCAAGAGGCTGTGCCAAGAGCGCATCCTTCTTGGCAGGCGACTCCCTCACACGGTTGGGCTCTAGCAGTGGCTCTTAAGGGTGCAGTCTAACAGAGCTCTGCGATCTGAGGCTGGGGCTGGCCCTTGGCGCAGCCTACAGCGACTATCCAAAACTCTTGGCCGACGAGGCTCATGGAGATGACCCTGACACAGGGAAATACTCGGGAAAGATGATGTGGCTGTCGAAAAAGCCACGGGCCTCCACCGTCTGACCCAAACCAGGATCGACCCAAAACGCTTCGGCACGGAATCGAACGAGTCAGGTCGTTTGGCTCACGGCAATCGGCCCTCTCCTTCTCCGTTTGGCAAGCAGCAGCGCGGTGGGGGCCCCGAAATTTATGACATCAATGCCCAAAAGGCATGTCCAAGCGCGTGCTTGAGAGCTACGAGTACCAGACTCCCTACACTCTGCTGACACTGGTGGCCCGCAGCTTTGCTCTGCACGAGGCCACGGGAGCCGAGGCCAAGGCCAAGACCCTGGCTGTTAAAGCTTACTCTGCGGCTCGGCAAAAGTGATGCAACACCTTCCGGGCGCGAGGACATGCCAGGACCACGGTGCTCAAGGGAATCTCTGCGGGAAACAGCTAAGATCCAGACTTGCCGATGACCTCGCCAGGGATTTCAAGAGGGTGCGCTCGCACTCTCGACGGGGGGCACTGGCCTTGCGTTCCTCCATGAGCTTGAAAGCTTCCCTGGCTCCGTGACTGGAAGGCTCCAAAGGGCATTAGGGACCCAGCAGGCCTGAAACGATCGAGCGGGAACTCGGAGCCCACGTAGGGCTTCAGCTTTCCCTCACTGGCCTCGCGCTCTCGTGCAAAACAACAAAATTCCCAAGTGGAGACTCTGAGAGGCGCGCCAGTCGGAGGAGCTCCAACATTGTTTCCCTTGCCAGCGCTGGCTCCAAACCTCAGACTCACGACATGCAGACCTGAGCGGTAAGTGGCAGATGACATCAGGACAGGAGCCTCTGTTTTCCTTTGCGACTGTCACGGCTCACGCCGGCTCGCGAATCGCCCAGGCGTATCACCGGTCGTCCGGCGCTGCCGCATACATGCCCTTCCACGCATCTCCCCGTCTCCATCACACCGGTCCCAGCCGGTCGACGTCAGGACGGGCTGCTTCTCCAGCACGGCTTCGAAGGCCACCAGCAAGACGATGAGCCAGGTGGAGTTCGAGTTCGTGGCCCTCAGGATCTCGTAGGACACGTCCGGGTCACCTTTGCCCGCGCCCTGCACTCCGCACCCACTGCGTCGCCTGGAGGCGGAGCTCTGCCGCGCGCGGGCACTCCGCCAAGCAGAGGGGCTCAGAAGTCCTTACGGGAGGAGGCGCTTCCGAGGGCTTCCGAGAGTATACGGGTCCCGTATAGTCACTATTCTACCTCAGCGCCGGACAGTGGGCAGAGGCCGCCGGTGCTTTGCAAGGCCTTCGCCAGGTTCGTCCTCCCACCGGCCATGAAAAAAGCACAATGAGTCAGTTCTATTCTGCGCTTCTCTTCAGTACAATTATAAAGATTGCTGCTAGAGTGCATGCTTTCTTCTTCAGACACTGCGGGGCGTTTGTTCGACGCTCGGCCTCTCGAAGACGTGCCCGGCCGGCGAGAGCACCTCGGCTCCCGGAGAGTCGGCCTCGATCTCTGCTCTCTCTCTCTATATATAATCTGCGGCCCAGCTTCTGGATCCACCAGCAACTTTCCGTCAAGCCGACCTCAGGGAATCCAACCGGCTCTGAAGTCTGCTGGTGGACATCCAAACTCGCTCGTGGGCGCTGCTAGGCCTTGCATTGCTATAAGCCTTGCAGCTCTGCCTCCCTCTTCGTGGGCCGAGGGGCAACAGAGCTCGGCGGGGGCATCCTTGAGGCGCTCCCTGCGGCTTTGAAAGAGGCCCCAAAAATGTGCGGAGAGAAGAAAGACCTAAGATTAGAGCAACGAGGGAAAAAAAAAGCAAAAATTTCTGTTTGCACTGCTGAGGCCGCGCCTGAGGCTCGGATTCCCCGACAGCCTGGCGATCGGGGCTTTGTTGCCCGCCGGCGGCCCAGGTGCCGCGGGCTGCGCCGTGGGCTGCGTGGGCTGCGCCGTGGGTGGTGGCGGAGGCGGCGGCGGCGGGATGTCCGAGGCCGCAGCCGCACTGGCACCGACGCAGGAGTACCAGCGCTCCCAGGTCTCCGGCCGTCGCACGGGAGCGCGAGACCTGAGCTTATACAGGACCCGCCTGGCCGATAACTTTTTGTGTTGATTCCGCATTTTTTTCTCAATCTCAAACCCTCGGCCTGGCCAGGTGCTGGGTGACTTGGGCGCTCTCCTGGTCCGTGAGGCGCGCGAGCGCCGCTCGCAGCTCCTGGGCTTCTGCGGACTCCGGCTCGAGGCCCGCTCCCACCGCGAAGACCACAAAGTGCGCCGTCCAGGAAGGGGAGGGGCCGGGAAGTTGGCGAGTGGCTTGGAGCCATGATCTGAGCGCTTCCGAGGCTTCTTTGGCCGGCGGAGGCACATAGGCAGCGAGCTGGGCCACCTCGGAGACCCAGCGAAGCTCCAAGTCCTGGCCGCTCTCAACTTCTCTCTCTTGACAAGGCGCGGTGAAGCTGTGAGGGCTATGAAGGCTGTGAAGGCTGTGAAGGCTGAGGGAACCGAGACGCAGTCGGTCTATATATAGAGTCTATATATAGGACCTGGATGGGGTCTCCGGGCCTCTGGCGCAAGGCCGAAGACCAGGCTCCAAAGACTCCTGTCGTAGCCAGCTGCCTCTGCCACGAAGGCATCGATGACTCCGGCGGCATCTGCCTGATTGCTGATGCCAGTGTCCGTGTTCACCTCGATGACATCCGCCCAGGCACCGGCTTGGCTTTGAACCGGCTTGGCAAGGGCTGCGACAAACGGCACGAGCGCCTTCACGCACTCGGCTTTCTGTGAAGACCTTGAAGGCCGAGCCGGCAGACAAAGTGCAAATCCGGATCAGCGAACAAGACAAGACAGTAAAATGCGGCTTGCGGGTTGGGGGAGGGGATCCTTTTGTGGCTCGCCGAGGTGCGCCTCCGCGTGGCCCAGCAACGGCTGCAGCAGCGAGGCGTCGCAGGCAGCCAGTGCCAGCCGACTTCGGTGCAGATCCAGACCGACGAGCCGCTCTTGCATGGAAAAGCATCCGATCACACCCAAGTCCTTACATGAACACCACGGAGACACAAGCAGACCACTCACAAGAGCGCCGCCGAGCTGCGTCGGCGATGACATCGGCCTGCTGAACTGCAGATCGCGTTGCTTCTGATGTCATATTTTGAACTTATAGGAGACCTTGAGTTTGTCTGGGCCTCCAGTTCGCCACCGAAGGCGATGTCCGGGGAAGGCAGACCTGCGCCCAAACAGGTTTGTCATGCTTTGCCAGTTTCGTCGTGTCCCGGGGGACGTCGACACGCTTGGGCAGGGGCCGCAAAGCGCCAGCAGCACCGCATTCTTGAGCTCCGGGAGCTCGCGTGGGAGGTCCTCCAAAAAACACGCGAAACGAGACTGGGGAGACCAGGGCTCAGGCTTTCGGGTTCCTCGGAGCCGGAGCTCTCGGAGCTGGAGCTGAGAACGCCCTTGCTGAGGACCAGGGCCCACTGGGGGTCCCCGTTGGCCCACTCCCACAGCGAAGCGGGCTCCAGGCGACCGCCTTCGAAGCGGGACCTGGGACTCGCTTTGTCTCTTGTACTCTCAGATCCTGCTCCTGCTCGTACGAGAATCCTCTTCCAGCCCCAGCGGCAGGATCGTGAGGATCCAAACACAGATCAGCTGAAAGGAGCGCTGCAACTGTCTCTCTTCCTCACTGTTTGCTTCAGCCTCGAATCGGCGGAGGGCCCCGTAGACCTCCAGCGACAGCAGCTCAAGGCCCACTTAGAGCAGGCAATGGGTCGCTGCCTGCATGGAGATCATGTCAAAGTCCGCAGCCACCGGTTCAAGATACCTCTCGCAGGGCCCGAAAGAAATAAAGGCTTAAGCTTGGTAGCTTGTGTCGACTCCCAATCTTTCGAGGTGCGGGGCGATCTGGGCGCGCTTCGCGTAGCCTCGGTCGCCCGAAGCACGCGCGAACGGGAGGCAATCAACCAGAGGGCGGTTTGGATTCTATGAGTTCCTCGCGGTGGCTCGGGATGCTCATGTCGTGGCTGCCTCAACGGGAAGCAACACACTTCAACCTATAGCCTGTATAATTATAACTGACTGTTTAAAGTTTAATACACACTCCTCTGGAGCAATCGCCGAGACGCCCAGTGACAGCAGCCCCGCCACCGCGGCGAGGCCTCTGAGAAAAAAGCATCCGACAAAATTCGCGTGGGGACGCTGACATCGCCCAAGGGGCTCATGGCAATGGCCCTGGCCAGCTCCACACTGAAGCCCCACCTCAAGTCCAGCTAATATATGTAGGGCCTAAATAGTTAGAATAGGGTCTTGGGGTCCATTATACTATAAATGTATATATAGATATAATAAGGAACCCCTAAATAAGCCCGCCAGCTGAGAGCGGTTTGCTCCGGAGACCGAGCAGCCGGCACGACCAGGCTCTGGTCAAAGCACTCCGTCATGTGCGAAGCCAACTCCAGGTCTACCGCATTGGTCAAGCCTGGCGAGAGACTTCATCTTTATTCAGGTCTTCTGGATTAGGGTTCAGGGTTTATAGGGTTTATAGGATTTAGGGTTTAAGAGAGTTCATGATCGGATTCGCGTTGAAAAGCGCCAGGGCCGCCTATGCAGTCCAGGGCCAGTTGGCACACCAGCGCGATGGCCTGCCATCGCAGCTGGGAACCTCTACAGTCAACTTCTGCCTTTTCCAGCCAGACTGGGCAGCAACTATAGATAATTTGTGTTGCAGATTTCGGAGTGGCCTGTGGCACCGTGACGGCATCCGTTCCTCCAAGCAGATCCAGAGTTTCCCGGACCTGCACATCGCTTCCGTATACCCTACTTGCACTGCCTCTCTTTTTCTCACCCCAGCCCGGCCTGGCGCTCAAAGGACTGGGCGCGATCGGCGCCTACATAGAGGGCACTTATAAGCTCGACGTTGCACCTCGGCGAGAGCCAGGCGCTGAGGCTGGCACCGACGCAATTCACCAGCCGCAAGCTGCCGGCACAGGAAGCGACATGTTGCACGGCTCCGATGATCTCACCGTACTCCATGGCTCAGATGGTCCCATGGCCTAGTGGCCTCCGTTTGGCATCGTTCGGCCGAAAAAGGTGGGCCGGGAAAGGCAGCTGTCCACATTGGAAGGCTTTGAAGTCGAACTCGACATCACAAGTTTTCGCTCCCAGCTATGACCTCTATGCAACAAGCTTCTACAATTCCGTGGCTTTTGCAGGACAGCAATTAGACAGAGCTCCAAAAAGCCCGAAAGGCTGCCAACCGGCTGTGGTAAGTTGCAGCAGCAAAGAACAGCGATCAGTAGTAGCAAGAGGTGGCAACAAAAGCGGGCCAGTAGCCGAGCTCCGGAGGCAACAAACAAACCTTAACCTCACACACACACACACACCTACACACACACACACCTACACACACACACACACCTCGCCACCTCGCCGCGCCCTGTTGCCCTTTAAACATGCTGGACCCATCACCGATCGCTCTCTTTTGCTTGCTTGCTTGCTTGCTGAGGCTGGCTGGCTGGCTTGCTTGGGACCCACCCCTGCTCAAACCTTGCCCCGCCCCTTGCTTGCAGTGTGCATGCTTGGCTTTTGCGCATTGCTTTCTAGTGCTGCCTCCTTTATTTTGGGTAGCATAATACGTAGCAGCAGTGGCAGGAGTTGCGCCGAGGCCAAGGCGGCGGAAAAGCTCTGCTTGGAGCTTCCATAAGCTGGAGACTCCGAGACTCCCCCTATAAGGTGGGCCCCTCCCTCGGGCCGAGGCCCAGTTGAGCGCCGGATCGGACGCCCACCAGGTCAAAGCCCTTGATCAGAGCCTTTGTCGCTACTTTCTGCTGCTTTGGGGTCTGCATGGGGGGGGTGGGGCGCTTTAAAGAGAGGCTTTATAGACGGCGATAAGATGTCCCTTAAGGCGCCGCGCCATGTTGATTCCGAACTTTGGGATGGTCCCAGACCTGCAGTCAGCGCATCCCTGGGCCGCCCCGGCTCCTCTCTCCGCGAGGCCGCCCCGTGACTCTCTCTCTCTGTGCCGCTGTGCGGCGCGAAGCCGACGACGAGCAGTCGCGCGTAGCCCTTCGGTGTCACACACCTCCTGAGAACGGCTTAAGGCTTAGGGCTTATAAGCTTGAGGGTTTAGGGTTTATAAGATTTATGGGGTTTAGGGTTTACGCCAACTCTGGTGACTGCTCCAGCGACGACGCTCTCTGCCAGAACAGCCAGGAACGATCATTGAGGCGCAGGCACGCACTGGTCAAAGATCTCACCTCCGACCGGGTCGTAGATCACCTGAAGGAGCGCAGAAGGAACCGCACCGGGGACAAGCGGCTTATAAGACTCTCTCTTACGGAGAGGTCGTTGTCATTCGCACTGAGGAGGAGGCGTCGCAAAATTCGCCTTTCGTTATCTCTCCAACCTTTGTGCGGCATGCCCCTTCTACGTCGTGAACGCGCTCTTCGTTACAGTGAGCTCGCAGCTGCGTCTTTCAATTTCTGCTTGCTGTAATTCACCACGTAGTCTGCTCCCAACTGCACAGAGAGCTCATGTCTCAGCGAGCTGAAATGCCGATGTCAGCTGCTCTGATGGCTGAGCCACCTTCTTGCACATTTTCAGCTTGTCGTCGGAGCTCGCTGCTGCAATGACCTTCGACTATGGAAGCAAATGCTTGGGAATGGTCTTCAATCTCAAGTCGAGCTAGAAGACGCATCAAAACTCAACCAAACATCCCAACGATTCCAGATCTTGCTCCGCGTGAGCAACCTCGGCAGGCCGCGTTGAGCGGTCTCTTTTTCCGTGGCCACGGCACATCTCAGCCGGAGTGCAGAGCTTCCTTCCGGTGCGCCTCTGCGACGTCCGTGAACTGGCGGTGAAGATCCGGGCCGACCCGGCCGGAGGACCCGTGGGGGGCCGGAGGGTGCAAGGTCCTTGCATGTCCTTTCCATCCCGTTTAACCGGGGAAGGTCTCTGCATCCGGGACAAGGCGAGCTTCATCAGGAAACTCCAGTCTCAGTCTGCCGTGGCATCACTGGAAGCTCACCACGACACTCCGCATTTCGCCGTTCACGAACCACTCGGAGAGCGCAGGATCGTCGCACTTCAGAACGGCATTGAAGAGGCTGAAGAGCCAGGCCTCTGGGTCTCAAGCCATGGAAGCGGGCCGCTCTTCGTTGCTTCCTCCCTGAAGCTATAATCCCTATATGACGGGATCCCGGGGCCGCTTGCGCCTCGAGTCCCGGCTTTCGGTGTGTTTAAGAACATTTTTTCTCCGAGCTTTGGAAGGCCAAAAATCACAACGACAAGGCGCGGAGTGAGTAGAGACCACGATCTCCGTCTCCGAACGATTGCGAAGCCAGAGCATGAAGTCGTAGGCCCGCTCTGCGACTTCCAAGTCACTCTCCATGTGCAAAGTCGAAAGCAGGGGATCCTGGCTCCCACTCGGAATCGAAAAATATGACGGAAGTGAAGAACCTCCCCCCCCTCCCACCCCCCCTCCCTCCATCTCTTTCCCGGGTCTTCGCCAGAAGGCCTCCTCTGGTATCAACGAGAAATCCACATTGGGAAAGTCCTGCTTGGCATCGCTCGCCGATCGCCGGTAGTCACAAGAGTTGCCGTGGCTCTTCTCCTTGCCTCAAAACTGGGGCCAAGCACACTCAAAGCTGTTGCGAGCTAGCCGGCTCTCGCCGGGAATTCGGGCCAAAACTGGGTGAAGTCAGGTCACAGGACTCGTGCGCAAGGAAGGGAACGTGGCCGATGCAGTGGGCGAAGGCGATGTTCGAGGTCATCAAGGCCCGGGACATCGGGGAGACCACCACCAGCTCGGCCTTCGTCTCCCGCGCCCGGCTCTGCAGCGCCTTCGCCTGCTGCCTGCTAGCAGGAGCCGGCTGAGCCGGGAGTTAAAGAGAGGAAGAAAAGGACAAAAATGCGGAGGAACAAGGAATGGGGGGCCCGGCCTACCGATCTCCGTCAGTGGCGGGTCGAAGACCTGTCCAAAAAGACAAAAAGAAACACAACGCCACCCCAAGCGACTCTGAGCAAAGCCCCCCGCGCCTCGGGGATGTTGTAGGGCTTCGCCTTCACCTCCGCTCTCCGGGCGCTCGCACTCCACTCGGCACACTGCATGGCGCTGCTCTCGCTCTCCCCGGCCCAAATTGATCGGACGATGGGCCTGGTAGACTTTGCAGAAGTCATTCAGGGAGTTGTGGAAGCCCTGGCCGTGGCGGATGAAGTGCAGAAGCCTCAGCCCGCCGAGGCCCAAAACCGAGCCCGAGCGGTCCCAGCGGTTTTGGAAAGCTCGGGCCGGCACTTTCCCGAGGTCGGCGCTTTCCCGCTCGGATCCGCTTCTCTGCAAAGCATCTGCACCGGCCAGGCCTGGCAGAGAGGGAGCAGAGACTCCGACAAAAAAGGGTCGCAGTGGTGTCCGGCCTTCCCCAAGACCTTGGCTGCACGCAATCGCTCGCGGTTCTTCGCACCATCCTGCAAGGCCGTCTCCTGACTCTCAGATAGGACTCACAGACACCGCAGGGGTTTTGGCCTCCTTCCACGGAAAAGACCCGGGACCCGCCTTGGAGGTCTCCGTCCACAAGCTTTTCTGGAGCGCTGCCAGGCCCCGGAACTCTGCATACTCCTCTGAGAAAAAACAGGCTTTCAAAACTCACACACACACACACACATGCATGCATCGGGGGTTGCAACAGGGGTTATCGCAACCTTCCAAGAGAGCTCCTGCTGTGGCCTGGCTGTCTTCTGGAGGCTTGCAAGAGCCCAGCCGACGACGGCACCGATCAACGCCCCGGCCACGGAGGACAACATGGCAGATTTCAGGAAGGGTAGTCTCGTGCGTTCGTGCGCTGCACATCTGGAAAAGCTTTGACACTTGTCATGTGCATAAAACACTGGCTTGACGAAAGACTGCAGGAAATGATGCACTCAGATGTTATAAAATCATATAGGTCCTAGACTCCTCAAACTGAGTCAGACTCTGCCATTCTCGGGCCGGGCCCCCCACTTTCGCGCCGACGGCTTTGCCCAACTCCACAGCCATGGAGCCCATGCCGCCCCCGGCCCCGGTGACCTGAGCCAAGGGCAGCCTCGCCGTGTCTCTCTTGGGGCGCAAGAGAGGGAGAGCAGACTCTTTTCCGCAGTTGCTGAGCTTAAAGGCCAGGAGCCACTCTCCGGCTTTCAGCCGCCCTCGGGTCACGAGGCCATGGTAGCCTCGCCGTGGCTGCTCTTGCTTGCGGCTCTTCCTCTTCTTCGCAGCCAGGACTCCCTCGCTCTCGGCAGTTCTAGAGGACAAGGGAACGGCCTATACTTTTTGGTGGGGCAATTCGAGAAGCACGTTTGGAGAAGGAATGCCAACAGTGCAGCAAGAACATCCACTACAGACGGCAAGAGCAAAGCCCAAGAGTGCGAAGGTTGCACGCATGGCTCCCGGGCCTGTCATGTAGCCCATGTGGAAGCTCGCCTTGGAAGCCCCGACATGGTGGTTCCCAATACATTAGTTACTAGCTGCCGCGGGCGGGGCCCCTTGGCTGAAGGAGAGCGTGTCCGGCATCTTGATGCACATCTCAGAGAGACAGAGACAGCCGGAGATGGACGACGTGACTACGCTAGTCCTTGGAGCTCGGCCTGTGCCGGCAGCACGAGCTCTTCTGCAGCACAGCCTCCCATGGTGGCCTGGGCAAGCGATCTCGACAGATGCACACAAAACTGATGAGTGCAACTTTAAGCTAAGAGCTCGGCATAGAAGACCTTGTCGCCCACAGACAAGCCACTGACCTCGCCATCCGACTGCGGTTAGATGTGCCGGGAAAAGCCGAAGGAGAGGCCTTGGATCCGGTCTCTGCCACAACGCCCGCACCTGCGCACGCAGCCGGCGCGCGGCAGCGTGAGAACACAGGAACTTAAAGCAGAACCCTTCCAGAGCCCAACCCGCCTTCCGTGCACCTGCAGGCGCAGCGCGGCGCAGGGCTTCGGCTTAACCCGAAGAACCCTCAAAGAGACTCCAGGCGTCCCGCAGTACGAAGGGCAACTTGGGCTTGTATTGGTACCTGCGAAGATCGAAATACGGCACCTTTCCTGCTCAAGCCGAGTGCACGCCTACAGTGCGCACTTGTTCTGCATCATAAGTAGCTCGGGAAAGTTTAGGGAAGCCGC